AGGATGCGGAGAAAGGGGAACCCTCCTACACTGTTGGTGGGAATGCAAGCTGGTGCAGCCACTCTGGAAAACAGTATGGAAGTTCCTCAAAAAGTGGAAAATAGAGCTACCCTATGACTCAGCAATTGCACTCCTGGGTATTTACCCCAAAGATACAAATGTAGTGATCCGAAGGGGCATGTGCACCCCAGTGTTTATAGCAGCAATGTCCTTTGCTTTTGATAGAACATTTTTTATATCTTTATTGAGATATAATTCATATACCATACAATTTGCTCATATAAAGAGTTCAGTTCAGTGATTTTTACTATATTTGCAGAGTTGTGGAACCATAACCAGAATTTAATTTTAGAACATTTTTGTCCCCCTTTAAAGTAACCACATGCTCCCTTTCCTCTTCCATCATCCACCCCTCCCCCGTTCCCATCCCTCAGCAACTTCTATTTTCTGTCTCTATAGATTTGCCTATTCTGGACATTTCATATAAATGGAATCATACAATATGTGGTTCTTTGTGACTGGCTTCTACCCCTTAGCACAATGTTTTTAAGGTTTACCCATGTTGTAGCACGTGCCAGTACTTCATTTCTTTTGATTACTGAATACGCTGAATACTATTTCATTGTAAGGATATACCATATTTTGCTTATCCGTTCATCAGTTGATGGACATTTGGGTTGTTTCTACTTTTGGCTATTGTGAAGAATGCTGCTATGAAATCTGTGTACAAGGCTTTGGGGGGACGTATGTTTTCATTTCTCTTGGCATGGAATTGTGAGGTCATATGGTAAATTTATGTTTAATTTTTTAAGAAACTATTTTCTTGCATGGCTATACCATTTTACATTCCCATCAGCAATGTATGAGGTGTTTTTCCTCACATTCTTGCTAACACCTATTTTGTGTCTGTTCTTTTGATTATAGCATTTTAGATGTGTAGTAGTATCTCATTGTGGTTTTAACTTCTATTTCATAGTGATTAAAGATATTGAGCATGTTTTCATGTGCTTGTTTGGCCATTTCTATATCTCCTTTGGAGGAAAGTCTGTTTAACTCCTTTGTCCAGTTTCTAACGGTAGAAAGTACCACTTACCTACTTACCAGTTAATCTACTATTTATGTTACATGTTATGTTTTGCCACTACTCATTTTTTCTCAGATAATGTTTCCTAATTATTTGCTAATGATTTTTTACATACTTTTGCTATCCTATCAATTTGGATAAAATGTAATTTTCTGTTAATAACAATTTCTGTTTCCTTAGGTCACATTGCAGAATCGACTGGCGCTGCAAAAAGCCAAATTATCAGTCTATGTGCAACCACCTTTAGTATTGACCTGTGATCAGTTCACCTTTGAATTTATGGGTAAGTGTTCTGTTTTGGCTTAAAGTCTATCATGGTGTGAGGTTTTCTTTTAATTAAAAGAATTTTTTTTTTGGTTAGTATGTTTATTTCATGGCTGTATTTCTTGTCTGAATAGTGAGGCTGGTATCTTTCTAAAATCAATGATTGTGTTGTTTTGGTTATATTTCCCCTCTAAACATCAAGCATGAATGATACTTTTTTTAAAAAATAGCAATATTCAGTGAATGGTCATTGAGCTGAAGTAATTATAGATTTTCAAGTGCTTTCCTTAACTAGATGGGCCTGTAATTGTAGTTAAATACTATAATTTGGAAGGCTTTCTTTATTGGTGTTTCTCTAGTGAGCTGTTTATTGAATCAGTTATGTGTGAAGAAAGAATATTGGTTTTGGAGTCTGGCCTGAATTTGAATTCTGGCTCTGACACTTACTCGATGTGTAATCTTCAGCAAGCTACTTTAGTAATTACTTGGAACCTCAATTTCTTTTAATCTGCAGAAAGGGGATAGTGATATCTGTCTTGCAGGGCTGTTTTGCAGATTTAATTAGAAAATGAAGCTATGGAAGATACCTGTAATAATGCCTAAAATAGTAGACAGGTCATAAATGGCCACTCTTGGTAAGATTTCTTTGCACAGAATCTCTCATGTCCTATCATTTGCATCCCAGTTGTCATTAGTCCCATCAAAATGATTTCTGCTTTATCTTTCTAGCCTTTTTCTTTCTTTGTTTACTGCTGCTGTTCAGCTGGTCATTCTGTATCTTATTCATGACGTCAAGAACCTATTTCTCTCTTTCGCCTTTGTATTATCAACCCTTACTTGAGTGCGCCTGGCAGATAGGAGGAATTCAATAAAATATTAATTGAAACATTGAATGAATGGTTGAATGGTTGAAGTAACTTTGTAGTGATGCCCAATCATTGGATTCTCACTTTATTTTCTAATTTTTTTTCATGGTACTTCCAATTTGTCTTTCTTTTTTTAATTATTATTTTTATATATTTTTAAATTTTATTTTATTATGTTAATCACCATACATTACATCATTAGTTTTTGATGTAGTGTTCCATGATTCACTGTTTGCACACAACACCCAGTGCTCCATTCAGTACGTGCCCTCTTTAATACCCATCACCAGGCTAACCCATCCCCCCACCCCCCTCCCCTCTAAAAGGAATGATCTATAGACTTTTGTATAGAGAAACCTCTTTTTTATCTATCTACCAATACTGTTCAGACACACACACATAATAATTCAGGAGCACACTATAGATTGCAAAAAGAAATCCTGTACTTAAACCAAATAACATTGCTCATGCTAATTCCCACCCCCCACCAACTGCTCGTTATTGCTATAAGTAAATACACCTTTCTCACCTATGCAGGTCTTAGACTTTCATGTGTAATAATAGCCATCTTAAAATGATGGCATGACACTACTGGAAAATTCTCCTTCATTAATGGAATTTTTATATTTGAGAATGACTAAGTCTCAGCCCTCTTCCTTACTGCCATTATTAAGAGCATGAGAAAGAATGCAACACACAAGGGTTGCATAAAATCAGCTGGACTTGTACAGCAGACACAATGACTTCCTGATTCTGTCGGACGGTTTCTATACAAATTTTGCTATAAATCTCTTCTTATAGCCTTTTATAACAACAGCAGCCAAGATATATAACCATGCAAGTTTCCATTATAATAAATCCTGTTAATTGAGAAAATTTTTCCATCCGTTCCAAGTGAATGAAGATGTGGCTACCATGAGTATGTGTGCATGATGCGTGACCATCTATTCCAGGCAACTAAGGCAGAGTGGTTGTTCATACCTGGCCTTTGGAGTCATATTTATATATCTAGGATAAAAATTTGGTATTATATTTCCTAAGGATCATATTTCATTTTGTTAGAACCAGAAAACAGCATGGAAAATTCTTATATTAATGTTTTATGTTTTCCCCTTAATATTCTATAATTATTTTTCTGTTAAAATATGAGGTTTATGATCTAGCCAAGTCTTTAACTCTTTTTTTTTTTGGCTCAAACACAAGTCTTCTTTGTTTTCCTCTAGTTATTTTCATCACACATCTCCTTGGTTCACATTTGAAAATGCCTAGGCCATTGTTGGGGTTTAATAAATCTGTGCATGAGAGCTGTCATGATTTTACACAGTGTAAAATTGTGTGATCATTGTCTAAGTACACATTGTTATGCCAGGTGGAGTCAGAATGTCTGTTCTTTTTTTTTTTTTTTTAAGATTTTATTTGAGAAAGAGAGAGCATGAGCGGGAGGGGGAGGGGTAGAGGGAGAGGGAGAATCAGGGGGGCTCAATGCTGGGCTCCATACGGGGCTCCATCCCAGGACCCTGGGATCATAACCTGAGCCACAGGCAGATGCTTCACCAACTGAGCCACCCAGGCGGTCCAGAATGTATGTTCTCTTATAAGTAGCTTATTACTACTTTAAAGATTTTTCATTTTCACTTTTAAAACTAAGCTCTTATGATATATTCATGGTGATAGTTTTCAGTTCTCTTGCACATATTGGCTTATTGGTCTTGGACATGTTATTTAACTTCTCTGAACCTCTTTTTTTAAACTGTAAAATGAGGATACTTTTTAATTGCAGGGTTGTTTTGAACTTAACCACAGTTTATTAAGAGCATGGACTCTGGATTCTGGCAGACAGAAGTTAAATTGTGGTTCTTTCACTTATAATCAGAGTGGCCTTGGGCAAATTATTTAGCTTCTCTGAACCACAGTTTTCTCTTCTGTAAAATGATGTATAGTGATAGTCCCTGTTTCATGATGTTGTGAAGATTAAATGAGATAATGCATACAAATAATTTATTCGCATGGTTCCATGAATATAAAAAGCCGTTAATGGTTATCATTAATATTATTAATTTTATTTAAAAATATATGTATAGACTAGCATTATATTATTATTTATAGTAAAATATTTAAGTTGTATCCTGTTTATTCAGTGGGCCTGGCATAATTTCTTCTTCCCATAATTACCATCAAGATTTTGCTAAAATTTTTTTGTTTATAATGATCAGACATCATGAAGGAAGCTTTGCTTGTGGTATGCAGATTCCCCTCATGTATTCCCAGGGCTTATAAAGTAAAAATTGAGGATTCATTGTTCATTTGCTGTGTTTATTGTATTTATTTGCATCAATAGTTATCCTTTCAAATTTTATTTTGCAAGTCAAAATTTTTGTGTTTAACTTATTTTTTAAGTTGTATAGACTACCCACATCATTTAAAATGAATGCAAGATACTTACTGAATCTAATTATATGTATATAATGTTTCTGGGCCAGTTGCGTATTCCTGTATATTGTTTCTTTCTCTGTAGTATGTGTGTGTATGTATATATTATATATATATGAATATATATGTAAAATATATATTAAGGAATAGGTGATACATGCCTTTTAAGAGAAATTTGAAAACTACTTTTTTTCTTTTTTTTTT